CTACTTATCTATGATCCAGTTTCGATGTTCCCGGGCCCACTATAGGCGTAGTTGGCAATGATGCTTACTTAACAGAGGCACAAGAGTGTGATATCTGCTCTCAATCTCATACCCACTAGTGTCCGCTGAAGTGTGTGTTCCGAAATACTTGCACTTAAACATGCACTGTATTGAGCTGTCGGCTGTCTGGAGCTGATTTTGGTGTACAAAGCGGGAGAGTCTCCGACATCCTTTTCTTTTGATGACACGTGGACATCCAATATCTTGGCGTCTACTGCTGGTTTCACTGTCATTTATCCACTTTGCATAAGTAGTAACAACGGCAGTTCGTGAACAACCTTTCATCGTATAGTTTCGGAGATACTCGTTCCGAGTCTTTGGGTCATTACTATGTTCCTCTATCAAATTCGCTTAGATCAGCAGCCTTTCCCATCACTCCCAAAAGTAATTGCAAAATGATTTTTTACCTTCTCCAAGCAGCAGTTAAATACTATTCTCACTAAATCTCGTGCCCTCCATGTCATCCAGACGAGTTTATTGAAAAATGAGCGGCTGATCATAATGTTTTGGCTTGTCAGTGTAGATGATCTGAAAGTTTAATTCTTTCCCACAAAGAGATTATTAAAATTTGTAATAGAGGATGCAAAATGTATTGTTGATACAGGAAGTCTCGAATTATTTAGCTACTTCTTTACTGGGAGAAAAGATCTTTCATTTGAAGATAGTGCAGTGCCGGGACATTATTAAAAAAATTATAAAAATATCTTGTATGAATACTCTTTGTAGATTGCTTATGGCAGTGGTCTCAAACTTAAATTACATTCTGGCCGAATGCATGATCCGTAAACAACTGAAGGGGCAGATTCCCCACCTGAAATAAAAAAAATTATTAGCAAAACAAAAAAAAAGTTTAAATAGATTTTAAATTTCGCTTGTTAAATATTTATCAAAAAATACACAAACGGTAATAATAATATCACAAAGAAAAACGAAATTCAAATTTATATCCATTTTCTAGCTGAAATTTCAAGTTTGATACTTGCAAAACATTTTTATCAGTTGCAGTTTGTAATTCAAATATATTTCCAGTTAAACACTAAGTTCTTAGACTGACATTTCTTCGTTCGAACATAAATTTTGCAACCTTGGAGAGAAATTACTCTGAATTATCTTCATCACGGTTTGTAGATACTTATCAATTAATCGAGTTCATTAAGTTTTAGTGGCGTCATCTAGACTGATTATTTTTAGTGCAAAATTCGTAATAGAGCTTATTTATTTTTAGACAAGTAGGAATAAATCATGAGGATAATAAAATTTGTATCTTCGAATCATTGAATGAAATTTATGTTGTAAATTAATTAGCTCCATTTTTAGGTTTTGCAGTGATTTGTGTTCGTTTCAATGGAAATGAAAATGTAAAGGTTCACAAGTTCATTTGGAGTCAAATTAATCGATATTAATTAAAAATATAAACTGGATTAGATTTTAGGTAAAGGCTGAATCTGTGAATTCTCAAAAAAGAATTACATATTCCGAAACACTTTTCGTTAAAACTGTAACATAAAATACATAATTATCGATTTTTTTAATAACCAACAATAGGGTTGCAAAATTACACAAACAACATAAATATCAAATTTTTATAAAAAATGGTATGGAAATCTATAAAACTTTCTCCGAACGCAAAAATTTTGAAGTCAAGAACAAAAGCGCTTGAGCAGATTAGTGCTGCCATCTAGTGACAACATTATTAAAATAATATTAAAGAGTTTTATGCAAGGAAATGCCAAAACTATGATTTATAAACTCCTTTTTAAACTAATAATAAGCTTTAAAATATGCTAAAATAATGATTATTATAGATTCTGTCGTGTTTTAAAATCGAATTATCTATTGGATGAATTTAAAATTTTAATTGCAAATTATAAATCAAAAATATAATTCAATGCTTATATTTTGAATATTTTGAAAACGACTTCTGAAAATTCAAATGACTTTTCTTCTTGAATATATACATACATACATACACACATACATACCTATGTATGATATATATATATTAATAAAGAAAAATTTAGAACCAATTTTTCGCTTCAGTTTTTTGGTCTTTGTGAGAAAACGGTTGTAAATTTCTTTCTTTATGTATTTACTGATCAATTTTCAGTGCATTTCTTTTGTCTTTAGCTTTATAATGACAATTCGGTTGTAAATTTCTTTCTTTATGTATTTACTGATCAATTTTCAGCTGCATAATGCGCGAAAATTCTTGAAATGATATTATATTTTAGTTTATAATTCTTTTTGTGTTTATATAAATTAATACAGATAATAAAATAATTTTGTTCTCAGGTTAAAATAACTTTTTTGAAAATATTAACGGCGTCTTTTCTCTATTTATATTAAAATGTGACGTTTTGATTTGAGTTTTAATATCCATAAATTGTTTATTTATTACTTTTACTTTGTTAGGCAAATTAAATTTACTTAATTTAAATTTGTATTTGTGTATTATTAACAGGGCCGAACCGTAGCATAGACAAATAAATGTCTAGGGCCCCGTCAAACGTTGGAAAAAAAAAATGTAAAAAATAAAATAAAAGTTATCTTTTATTTCACAAAATAAATAAAAGAAGTGTGCCAGCATACTCAACTTAAATTTAATCTAAATCTAAAGGTTTCCTTTTTACTTTCTTGTACGAAGTAAGAAGGAAGTATTGCAATCGCGAAAAGTTTCAGGCATCATATTTCAACGAAAATATCCAGTTTGGCCGCTTTCGAATGCAATTTAAGGATGTTTTAGCGTGACATCTGTACATAAGGACAGAATAAAAGACTCTTTTAGCCCACCAAAATTAAAAAGCTGATTTAAAATGAATTCTAAAGAGAATTTTTTGTGGCGTCTGTACGTACGTACGTATCTCGCAAAACTCAAAAACGTGTAGCCTCAGAACGTTGAAATTTTATATATAAGACTACTATAACATGTAGATGTGCACCTCGTATTTTGGTTGCAATCGGCCGCAACAAACTTATATAAATATATAGTATATATAAATATATAACCACTTTGTTACCCAGCTCAATGATCTCAGTTTCTTTATACTCTTATATGTTTGTAAGTTGTGCATTTTTGCTTTAAGAATGATTGAATTGTGTTATTTTTATCTTTTGGTTAAGGTTTTATGCCTTTAGTAAATCTACATGCAGTACCGATCAGGCAGTGGACGAGAGAGGAGCGCGCGTTCTCCGTGGAGTCGTACTTTTCAATGCACTGAATTTTTATACATATAAATTGGCAGTGGTGCAAAAACATAAGTCACGCGATTTCCTTTCACGAAAAAATGCATGCAAAGTTGTTCTTGACAATACGCCTCATGATGCCCTTGTGTTCTTTAGCGATGAGACTCATTTTCGTTTGTCCGGTTGCAGCGTAGATTAAGCAAAACATGCGATAATGGAGCGGCACGAATTGCCGAGAGTTTCATGAGCAGCCCCTCCATGCAGAAAGTGTGACTGTTTGGTGTGCATTGTCCAGAATAGACATCGTTGGACGATGATTTTTTTCGGAGAACATTTCCCTGGACGCCTTATCTCCTTACGAGGCGATTGTCAGTGACTAGCGCGCTCTCCTGATTTAGCCCCGTGTGATTTCTTTTTGTGGGACTATCTGAAATCTCTAACGTGCAAAGATCCAGGCTCAACTGAAGAACAATATTCAAGCTGCTATCGACAACATACCCGTTGATATGCTGGTAAAAGTGGGGCCACCTTAATGATACTATTTTTAAACCGTAATAAAGAAAAAACTTTAAGTGTCTCTCTATAACTTGGAAAAAAATTAAACTGATATCGCTCATACTATTTGTGTTATTCATTTTTAAAATAAGGTAGTTTCCCTGTAGCACCCTGTATAACAGAATTTTTTGTAATAATTTTATTAATATTTATTTAATAATTTCTGTAATACATATATATATTCCTTCTTTTACAAAGTTTTAACTCTTTAAGCACAGTAGTACTACCTTAAAATTATGTATATGTTGACTAATAGCAATTCGCTATTTAATTTATTCTGTACATTTGCCTTACCAGGCTAGTTTGTATAGTTTTTTCTTGCACCATTAATGTGTTTCTCATTTGCTTTTAACCAGCGGACACGTCGGAAAATGAAACAGAAAAATTGAGATTTAAGTTATATTACGTATATTTGTCTTTTTAATACTCAAAATGTTTTTTTTCGTGTTCAGTCTCAATTCTTCATGTTTGACGAAACGCATTATGGAATTAGCTGGATTCGAAACTCATTGTGCATTCCCTTGATAACTCCGTAATGAGATTCGAATTAGGCTAAATTACCATTTACCGCTTCTCAGTAATTTTGCGTGTGTTTTAAATAATTTTTGAGGTAATTTTAAAATGTTTTAGGATTGTTTAAACTTTCATCAACATTTTTAACTTTTAAATTTGATTTGAGTTTTACATTCACTTTTTATTTGTCAGTTTTCTTGTTTAGTATTTCATACATCTTTCTTGTATTTAAACTTTTTGTATTACGATTTATTTTTACACAGTATTAAAAAATTTTACACGGGAACCACAATATCACATTTGCTTTTAAGTAATAGCATGAAGAATTTCCTTTTTACCTTGTTTTCAAATTTTGCAGCTCAATGCGCAAAATTCTTGACCTCACTGATCTTTTTTAGTTTGTTCATATATATATTACATATATATTGATTTAGAAACTTTATGGCTTTGATGACTTATTAATATAAAACGTAGCAGAAAAAATATCATTTGGAAAGTACTGGACTTCACATACGAATATAATGTTAAGAAATCTCTGACATGTATGATGTATTATTTTATTACTTATTACATTTGGAGTAGACATAATTTTTTAATTAATATGAGATACAGATTATTTGCATCATTTTTGTGTTTTTAAGAAGTATATGTGGTAGTGTAAAAATGTAAAATATATAATACTCCATATAAACATGACTTCAAATAAATTTATTGAGAAAACAATCACAACAGGTCACGGAGCAGCTTAACGCTAAGACATAAACAAATATAGGAAAAATAAATACATAATAAATTGTTTTTTCAGTACATTTTGCTCACAATAATTCAGTTTTGCTAGTACGTATGCTTGAAAAGTGGTAATAATATTTACAACATTATTGCAATTAAATTGTAATAATTTGTAAACATGCTTTCATTCAAAAAGAACACATTTGAGTCAATTTGTTGCACAACAGATGGCTAAAAAATCGTTGCACACATTTATTATCCTTTCTTAAGCATAACGGAATATTAGAAACTCCTTAAAACCCGATTTATAAAGTTTTCAAGCTTCATGAAAAGTATTGATTCAGAAAATATACCTCAAAGTGTGAAGGAAATTCATAACTACAAGATATAACACTGCATATTGTATGTGAACCTGGCGTAATAAACATAACAAATGTTTCGTGTCATATGAATTATTTTCCTATAAAGAAAGGCAACGAGGAAAACATTTTCTTATTCTATAAATTAATATTACTTAGAGGGAAATTTATTGGAGGAAGGGAAAAAAGAACAGACTCCTTTCGACTGAATTGCAACAAGAATTTACTGAATCTGTTTAATAATTTACATTAAACAAATAAAAGGAAAGATTTATTGACATTTCAAGAAATCAGAGTTATCAATATTCCTCCATGTTTTAATATATTCAGAATTAATAATTCTGTTTAATACATTCAGAAAGTGGAATTACCAGTATTCCTTCATGCTTTAATACTATTACATTGAACATTATTTTGTAGCTAATACCTTTTATTACAAATGATAATTTCTTCTTTTCATTACATAACGAAGAAAAGCAAAACTGAAATGTACAAATTTGCACAAACACTAGGCATAATTTAAATGGTTGTGCTTAGATTATATACAATGTTGTTGGCTACTTAAAGTGCAAGAAATTACAGTGCTAGTGCAATCTTTTTAATGTGCTCGGGAGGTTTGGAAAATTTGATGTCAATGAATATACTAAAACTGAAAAAGGTATACATTATCAGAAAATTAAAAGGAAGAAGAGTTAAAAATTTCCACCGTAAAGTTAAATTATCCAATTACTTTTTGTATTAACAAATATACTTTAAATCTTTAAACATTCATAAATATACATTATAATAGCAACACCTGCATCATTCCATGTATTTTATAAGTACCATGATATTTAATTGCACTTTATACAATTTCATCGGGTAACAACTATTATTTGTAACCGCAAAATATACAAAAATATCTTATTATTATTTTCATTTTTATATAGTAAATTATTTTTATTCTCTTTGATATTACATATGCAATATATCACGTGTTCATTTTTATGCATTTAAATGAGGAAAAGGTTAGAATCTAATATAATAATACGAGTAATTCTAATTTCCCGTATGTTATTCATTTCTTGAGATACTAACTCAATACTCGTAATCAAAAGATTGGAGTATATTAGTCGACTAAATGTAATTTTTTTAATTTCTCGCGTCTGTGTAAATATATCCAATCTTTAAAAGTAAATATTACATTATAAACATTTGTTGCACACACAGTTCATATCCTCTCTACATTGAAATAATAAACTATTATAGTTACACATTCAGTTTTCAAAAAATAATATTTTTACACTATTAAAATACAAATTACAAATGAAATCATTCAAGATATAATGAACAATTTTTAAGGCAAGTTCCTGAATGCAGATGTATATTCATTTCATCTATCTCCATTGAAACTGAATACCACGTACTTAAAAATATCCATAATATGCAAGTTACACTCCGGAATCTGCTCTTCCATGTCTGTGCAACGATTATTTAAGTTTTAAGTTAAACCTCAACTTTAAAAATTTTTTGACTTTTACGAAAATTTATTTCCAAATATGCATGATATTAAAGTAATGACTCTTAATTTTTATACATACAAGACAAAAATTACGATTATATAAACTTCAATAAAAGTAGCGTAACATGGAATAATATATACATACTGAAAGAAATAGGCGGAGGGGATTCACCACGAATCTTACAAGAATATCATTACATTAAACAAATTGAATAACATTTTCTACAAATACGATAGGATGAACGACGAAAGGTACATGAGGACAATAGATGTAACAGATTTACTGAGGGACATTTAAAGTAAAGGATGACATTCGTACGTCATGATGCAATACTTGTTCAAGCTTCGTTTATTTTCCCCACTGTTGGAAGAGGCCTGCTCTTTCACACCTGCAGTTGGTGCCCCACAGGTTGCATCGGCAAGTAGAGTTGGCACAGCAATCATTGGGTTTTCCGTCACAGCCACCACCTCGGCGAATGCAGGCCCTCCTGGAATAAACAATTAAAACAGAAAAATATAAAGAAATGAAACAATTAAAGTAAAAAAAAAAAAAAAAAAAAAAGAGCTAAAGCAAATTTCAGCTCTTATTGAAGTCATTGTACTGAAATTGGAAAGCGCCATCGTATTGAACTGGAGAGCCATTGGTCCAACAGCCAAAGCCCAAGTGTTGCCAAATATAACCTGAACTATGATATCTAAGGTAGGTAATGTCCCACCACTAAGCAAGTTTTTTTTAATATTTATGAAATTCCTTTCCAATATGAATATAACAGCACTTTTGTGAATATTTAAGAAATAAAATATTACCTTTTGAACGCCAAGAACGCTTACGCAACAACATGCTGTTCTGCGAAAGACCAGAACAAAGATTTCATATATAAATCCCAATTAGTAGTAATATTGTTATTCATCATTATGTCTTGTTAATCTTTCCTGTTGAACTTAGGCATTTGTATAGTTGTAAATAGCACACAATTATTATTTGTGCATTACTTGCTTTAAATTTTGTAAATATGCTATTTTAGGAGAATTTCCCTGCGAATCTCGCTCCCAATGCCATGTTTGCTTACTTGCTCACGTAACAAGTGGTCACGCCTCTTTCACCATCAGCTCCTGCCCTCTCGGACCTACGGTTCGGGCTCAGTCTACTTTCTTCGCTTTTTGTGCAATCACCTGATGACAGCCGGAACAAATGCGTTTTGCTTGATAATCACGGCAAAAGAGGAACTTGGAAATATTGTTATTCGTAGGTGACTTATTTAAATTGTATTATAGTTTTGATATTTAGTTTGCATGTGTAAGATTTAAAGAAAAAATTTAAAAGTAAAATCATTAATTTTTAACTGTGTACCTTACTTAAATGCATAATCATCATATCAGCAATATGAGAGATAAATTACTTGACATAATTATTTTGCTGTCATTTGGAGTAAGAAACTATGTGTTTACAACAGCCTATAGTTTATTGAGTGTACAAGTAGAAATAGAGATATCCAATTTCAAAGTATGGTTGAGTTTAAATAAAATGATGTGATATGTGACATTCCGAAATTTTCAGTAACCTCCAAGATGTATCTACTAAAATCAACAGGAGAGAAGATATAGGTATTTTAAACTTTTCCCCCACTGACATCATTATCCAACATAAGGAAGCGCATAAGACTTTTACGCAAATTTAAATTTCGCCCATTTAAGTAAAAGAGCTATCTTTTTATTCGATTTCAGGAGAACTTTTGCCGTCCAGAATTGATTAAATACAAACTTTATTTTCGAATGGTTTTCCTACAGGGATTCCTGTCTTATAGATCATAGTTTGGATATATATCGTAGTTTGAATCATATTCTGGAACACCAGCTGGTTATGCTCATTAATACTGAGGCTATATACACTACACGCATTAATGCTGTATGCGTATCGCTATAAAGTTTGACAGAAATACATTTTTAGCTTGCACTGGAATCTTCAAATAGAAAATCTGACATGAATCTTTCAAGAATGTAATTACATAATGCACGTATAATATGCATATATATAGAGAGAGAGAAAGAAAGGTAGATATATACATAAAATAAAATTCAGGAATAAACCACTACATTGCGAAGATGTTTACTTAAATAAGATGTTGGAGATGTTCTTTAGTTCAGAAAATAGCAGCCATTTTGAGAGACATGAATTAAATGAGAAGGCGAATAACTCTGTGTTTACAATGTGAAGTCAAGTCATTCGATTTTTTTACATTTCTTGGTGATGGTGAAAAAGCATGACTCAGATTCTCCATTTCGATCTAGAGATGCCGAGCTGGTTTCATGCTGGGTGAATACAATGTTGTTATCTTTAAAGGTAATATGCCATCATATTCCTCGAACGTCTCCGTGACACTTTTTGTAAAGCATAGAGGTGCATTATTCTGCTGATAAAGATCATCGCTAACAGAAAAACAGATGATATGAATGAAAGACAGAACGTTGTGAAGATCTATATTCAAACATCTAGCAGACTCTAGAGATCATTATACTGGAAGAAAATAACTGCCTTCTATGTGATGCACTAGGAATCTGGATTCATTCAGACGAAGAGACCTTTTTTTAATCATCTGCGAACCAGTGCCGATGATCTGGTGTCTATTTCATACACTGTCATAACTGGAAAGCACTTAATATAAAGCCATGATCGAGTATACGACTATGCTGTTCGATTTACTGAAGAAATGTGTAAAACTGAATGCTCTAAAATATTATCCTATTCAATAGTGTTACAGCCTAAGTTAGCTGCTATCTGCCCGCTGTGAGAAAAACCGAGTTTCCACTAAGGCTCTAAAATCGATAAGCTATGTTAGCAATATGGTTGGGTGACAGTTCATTCTATACCAATACTTGCATAACCTCTTCCTAGGTCTCATAACAGCTAGCAGCCCACAAGCCGAGCAACTTCAGAAATTCAGATTCAGAGACTGCGGCATGCTTTCAAAAATTGTCTTTAATGAAAATGTAGTGATCATGTGATACCGAGAGCTTGCTGATGCTGTTTCGTATGGAGTTGCTTGTTCGTGTAGCCATCTATTAGCACTAATAAGAAGTGCAGCAATGCATGAGGTTCAAAAAATGACCTCAAGATTTGATCCTGGGTATGTAAAGTAGTGGTCTAATGCCATACCTTCTATCACAAAAGAGTTCTGGTGCGGTAAGATTCTGGTGGATAACTTTGTAGTGGAGGCATAAGATTCCTACACACACTTCTCTGAAGCATTTACGATGCCATATGAGGAGATGGGATCGTGAACTGAACCCGCATTGTGGGAGTAGTTGTAAGTCTAATGCGTTGATGCTATTGTGTTGATGGGCTGTGGCTCCTGTGTATATGGGCGTCGCACCCTTTGTTGCATGGTGAAGATTGGGTGAAGGAATCTCTTGGCGTGTGTGACTTAATTCTTCTTTTCTCCCTAGTTGGAGGAAGTACATAGTTCTGGTCACAAATGTAGCAATCACCTAGTGTCGTAAGCTTGCTTGGTGCTGATCGGTTGTTTGACCTTGTCACTCCCTGTTAGGACCGATGAGAAGATGAAAATAACCATGCAATTCGATAATGGGTCTGTTACGTGGCAGTTGAATGCCATACCGCTGCTTAAAAGAGATTTCGTGTAGTAGATTATGGCATTCAAATTGTTTTGTAGTGCGAGCGATTGATTAGGTATCGAGATCGCCACCAAACAATGATGAAGTTGCATCTTTTCCAATGCTGAACTGGGCACCATAGTAAAAGACGTTTTATTGTAGGACTTGCGTGTAAACTGTTTAGTGATTTTGACACATGTGATTGTTCTTTTTAAAACGGCGCTCAGTTCTTTAAACGGTGTTTAATCACAATGCACTAGCTTTTCTGATTATAATTTTTGTTAGATACAGCTGGATCATATGTACCAGAATGAGTCGATGTTAATGACTGGTCTAATTAATTTCATTTCATGTGCTACTAATGCTGCAGTGTTTTATTAACATGAAAGGGGTACTTTACGGTTTTTATACGGATGTATTTAATAAAAAATAAAATATATTTCATAAAATAATGTTTGAAATGATCATAAGCTTTAGATTTTGCTCCATTTTTAAATGAGAGACATAATATCTCATAAAAAGTTAAACGGCCTGAATATAAGAATGTTAATAGCAATTAGGACTCTTCTTAACTTGTTCATCTTTAAACCTTTATTCTGTAAAAACTGTGATAATGCTAAAATGAAAAGCAACTTCATCTCCCTGTAGAAGTCGTTTTCTTATAACCAACACACGTAATCATAACATTATTGTTGCTGTAGTTGTGACTTATCTCAGTTTTCTGACAGTAGCATCAGAACAAATTCACGAAATACATCATGCCAAGCAGTACAAGACTGTGCCTATTGTTGGTAAGATCTTTGAGCACAACAGCAACAGTACGGCTTTGCCCAGTTCCGCCTCTAATTTTGACGGAGAGCACTGAAGGGGGACGGGTTCGAGAGTCTCCTCTTTCCGCCCCTCTGTTCCTACCACCAACGTCTGGAGACGAATTTCAGCTCGCCGCATATTTAGCGTCTCCAATACCGCACAGACATTAGACATTGCAAACATCCGTGCTTTTTCCTGGATTAGAACCCGGGCCATTCGGTACGTCAGTCAGTGTCGCTAACCACTATACCGATTGGGCGTCTGAATCATAATGATGAAAACGGTAATGAGTGAATCAGAGATTATCATCTGCCAGAAACTGCTACTTTATAAGAAAATACGCTTACGAGCGTTACATTACAAATATGTAATCTAAAAGGGTGTCATAACATTAAATGTTTGAATATTCAAATTTAAGATAAACTATGTGCCGTGCAGTTTAAAGGGTGATTTACATAGCTTATGTAAGCAGTATATATTGAGATAAAATGAAGCAAATATGTTTTTCTCTAAGATGAGCTCTAAATTATGGGTCGTAAATTTTCTAACATAGTTTTGAAGCTTATGGAAGACGAGTGAGGTTTAGAGAACGGCATTTCAGAGAGAATAATATGTTTAAATAATGCCTTAAAATTAGGGGAAAAAAGAAACCTTAGAATGAGAGAGATTTTGAATAAGACCCAAGAAAGGTTTTAAATTAACCTTTGAGTTTTATTCAAAACCTACTCCAGTTTAAGATTACTTTGCTGTCTTGTTTTAAATTTTACATAAAGGTGTATATTTTCCAGTTGCAACTAATAGACGTATGCTTTCAAGTTTTGGAAGATAAAAAGCGTACGCTTTGTAATAGAAAAGTAGTTATACTATGAAGTATTTTCAGTTATTTAAGAAAAGGTAAATTAGTTTTAATATTATAGCGACATAAACATTATTAAACAAAACATACGTAGTAATTTGCAGCAGAAACAACTCGTGTTTCTCATCAAACGTGTCCTGGGGTTGAATTTGTATTCCGGCAAGCAACTTTCGAAAATAATTGTTACATCATTCATTACCATGGAAACAAAAGCGAGCGCATTTCAATATTTTATTATGTCAAACAGTGCTGCTCGTGTGTTTACTGATCAAATAAATTCGTATTCAAATGCCATAAAAGTGGTTTCTGTTTAACTTTGTTATTATTAACAAAATCATTGCATGAAAAAAAAATAATGCAAATTAACCAGCAGTTCGACTAATTCGCTTAATTACATATACGTTAACAAGAAACATAAATGCTACTAAGAAAAAGCTTTAAACTATCAGAGTTAATTTTTCATCTGGCAGAAAAGTCTTTTATCTTAAAAAGAGATTAATTTCTGATCCTTTCATTACCTTCAACTACAGCAAACATTTTTCTTGATTATAATAAAATAAATAGTAAGCTTAGAAGAATGATCACACATTTTTTTATTTCTTCCTAGAAATGCTATGCAAGGGTATTGGTTATGACGGTTTATTTAAACATTGTGGGAATTTACTTAAGTTAATTAACAGTTACTTTTATTTTGAAACAACATTTCGTATTATTCTCGCTTTCAACCCATGCTTTCTTGCCAGAATGTAAATGAGTTAGCGAGTGTATAAACAAATGAAATAGAAAGAAGTTAGTATTTAAAGGAAGGCTTGGGAAGGTTCATTTAGAGCGTGTACTGCCTGCCTGAAAGTCACGTTGTTATATTTGATTTATTAGCGATTAGATTTCAGTGGCTTTGAGCTCTTCTTGTCATTGGCCTTGTTTACGCCGACGTTTACTAGTCGGAGCATTCCTGCGCTTTAAGTAACTTGTGAAAAGCCATTAGGCTAATTTAATTCTGTTCTATTTGAAGTTAGTTGCTACCTTTTGAATTAAGCCAAAAGTGTTGGCTTTTGTAGGCATGAGTCAGTTCCATCTGTGAATAATATTAAGTTAATAGGAGTTTATTTACACCCTTTCTCTGGACTTTGTCGCACTTAAAACTTAGGGACTATTGCCCTTTAAACTTGGAACTATAGTCTGTTGACGTAAAGTTAGTTCGTGCTACCAAAGAACACCAGACATTATCACATTGTTGAGTGATATTTTACCTAACGTACATTGTTCTTAAATATTACTTATTATGGTTCGCATGCTTTATATTGCAGTTAGTTTACAGTGAAGAAACAGAAGATAGTACTCTAAATTCCTGTAAAAATAATATCTTGTAAAGGGTTACAATAATTAAGAAAGTGATTGAATATTTTTAGAATGCAAGTCAGCATAGTTTGTAAGCACTTATATAAGATGAATTTAACTCATAAATGAATCATTTTCATATTGTTAAAGAAAAGCTCAGAAAGATTGGTTGCTTCCTTAAACTGATTACTGCTGCAACGGATTGCTTGTAGGGTTTATATTTATTTTAACTAACATTTATTTTAAGTTTAAACTATCTTTCCTGTCAAGCCTTACTTTCCCCTGGAATTGCCAATGCCAGAGTATGTAAATTTTAGTAGAACGCGCAAGGATTCAAATTGTCAGAGGAAGTAATCTGAGATTAAATAGAAGGGAAACTTTGAGTTCGAAAGGTGTGCTTTCTTGCTTCACGAGCGTGGAAGGTGGCTAGGTAGAAATTTTAAGAACCACGCGTTTCGGCCTCTGTGTGCTTGCCTCGGCAGATTGTTAATCTTTCAACGTAATATTCAGAAGTTTGCTAAATTATTTTAGAACGCGGTGAGGTTAGTTACGTTTAGAGAGCCTCGTAGTTAATCACTTGTTACTATTCTTTTTTTTAGTTTCTTATTTTTATTTTACCGATGGGTCGGCGTAATTTGTGAGCGTCAAGAGCATGCATTTGTAATTTCTAAAGTTGAATAAAAAGGGATTTAAACCCTTCTCAAGACTTTGTCTACTTTCCAGTTCTCAGCAGTCACCACTATTGTTGCGTGCAGGTTGGAAGCGCGCAACATTACATGCTTAAACTGATCAATTAATGCGATGGTGTTTTTAATTAATTCCATTTGACTCAACAAAACACGAAAAACGACCAGCAAAAGAACTTGATTCTCGAGACTGCGACACACAAGAAGAAATATATTGTGTGATGGTTCATCAAGGAGGTTAAACTGCTCTGATGGAAAGCACGAAGAAGGAGTTGCGCTAGATAAACGAAATTTAGGAGGCTTATTTGTACATCTGAAAGATGATGTCTATTCAGATTTCGAGCTAAACGAACAATTGGCGTTAGCAATGCCTCTATGAACAGGCAAATTACGTTTGCTTTAAGCGGTAGTAGACCTGTAGCGGTCACTCCACTAACTCTAAATTACCAACTTCAGTGGTACTTTGCAACTTCAGTGGTATCAAGCTAAAGCTCATTGGAGGGCATAGTGGAGATCTGTTATTTCTCAGATAAAAGACATTTCTACCTTGGTATCAGAGATAGCTATATGTTGGTTAGGAGGCCAGGTGAGTGCTTCGAACCAAGTTGTCTGTGGCACAGACACATTGGATATAAACTAGGAATTACGTCTTTGAAGCAATATCATATGACAGCAGTAACACAAGTTTCTTTCATATGACAGCAGGAGCTCTCTAATCGTTATCCCACAAACCTTGACAGCAGATTTATACGTCAGGTTGGTGACTGCAACAGTTGTGCTGCCATTTTTGAGCAATATTCCAAAGGGGATTTTTCAACAGCTGGTCCCCATACCCCGCTACCACTCAACATACTCTACAGAGTATTGACATGTTGCTTTGGCTGGCAAGATGACCAGATCTTTCACCTATCAAGCATATAAAAAAACCTAACTGGACTACAAATCCATCATCATATACACACAGAGTGGACCACTGCTGATTTGACCGATTAAGTGCAACAGACATAGACGTCCATTCTACTAAGTGACATACCGTATCTGTGCGACACAATGCATTGCGCGTTTGCATTAAACATCTTGGCTACTACAGCTGGTATTAATACACTATCACTTCACATTTAAAATGGCTCTTCTGGAACATACTTCAACCTGTGACCTTGAAATATTAATAAAGTCAATATGTTAACTAGACAATTGCTTTGCTTATATTTTATTTTTCCACGCTGTTGTTTTTTTCTTGGTGTTGGATTTCATTTCAAAAGTACATTGTTCCATCAATGTACTTTTGAAACATTCTGTGAATAGTCATTAGAGATGGATGCTATCCAAACACATAGCTCAACATTAACGCATAAGCCAAAGGCAGTGGCTTATAATAAATTAAACTCAAAGTTATGTCCTATGGTGCACAGCAGTGTTGCCGACATACGATGCCGAAAATTAAAGATAAAAGTATAAGTTTAAAATTTGCTTTAATTTGACCTGTATTATTTTAAAAATTTTCAGCTGATGTAAAATAAATTCAAAACGTTCAATTAAACATGGATTAGAAGTATACGTTTTGAGTAATCTTAACACAGCTGCGTTTGATTTAAAAATGTAGTAAAGTTTCAGTTTGATTAGAATGCTCTTTATAATATCTGTTTGGTATGATTAAGACTATTAAAACGCGATTATTAATTTCAATTTCATATGCTTCGAAACTCTGATAAAAGTATTATTTATCCTTATCTTTTTTTAGTGAAAATATTATAAGTTATATTTTTTAAATTTCTTATCGCTAGAACTCCAACTCACTTGTCGGTTCTCATCAGGTAGTTCTCAAGACTTTCGTTGTAGTCTTCTGACATCTGATGATCTGAAATAAAACAAGGATATACTATTAAATTTACGAAAAAATTTGGAATTTATTGATAGATACTATTATATATAATTGTACTACATAACTATATTTCTGATCATTAGGTTTTTAAACTAATCTGTAACAGCATATTTTCTAACATAAAATGCAAATAGATTCACAGATATCATTTACTGTTCCGTCTAGACAAACATATATTATGAATAGGTAAATTATATTTATTTCAATATTTTTATCTTTGTCTCGAATGGCAGTTAGTAATAAGTGATTTACCACTTTTCATGATATAGCTATGTTTATAACGTCTGTTTGAGATTGTTTCCATTTAGCTTCCAATTGGTATTATGTGTAAAATGCATTTTCAAGACAGGGGATATCTTTTTTACAATCTGTGTTGCAACGGAATATTTTTACTACGATATCAACAGATGCGCATGACAATTATAGTGTACTGCATTCGTGAAGAGTATAGTTCATTTCATGACCATTATCACGCATTAAACATGCTACCTTATCAAAAGATTGGGGATAAGTAGCAAATAGAATTTAAGGGATTTTTTTTGTGAAGACACTTCATTTTAAAGCAGTATTAAGGTTTTGAAATTTGCTACATCATCAGCATCAAGTAATTTTTAAATTAAAAAATAAAGTATACATACATATATACATATATATACTATATAGAATATAAATTTTTTGTCATATATTATATATACAAATTATGTCATATATTTTGTCATATATTTTGTCATATATTTTATATATATTATATATATTATAAACTTACAAAACAACTTTTAAAACAAAATATAATCATGCCTAGTATTTTCGCGCTTTAAGCTGCTGAAAAATTATTAGTAAAGACAGAAAGTAAGAAATTCAGAACACAATTTTCACTAAGATCAAAAATTCAAATTCATAAGTAATAGATTTCAAATAATCCCGTCATATAAAAAAAAACTTCATCATTTGCGAAAATTTGCACAAACTAAGTGTTTTCATGTATATGTTTTATGTAAAGATTCATATAATTACAACAGATTAAAGTTGTAGCTTAATCAACTTTTGTTAGGAATAATAAATCATTTACACTTAATTAATCAGAAAAAGGAAAAAAAAGTGAAAATTGCAGAGTTTAACAGAATGCGAATCAAAGTAACTGATATACAAATTTTATAGTTAATGTAAATATACATAATTGAAATCATATTACATGAACACTGTGTGTGTGTGGGGGGGAATTGACAGTTTTATATCTCCCGTTCTACTAGGCCGATTGACGAAATTCAACTTGCGTGTTTCATGTCTCGAAAGCGCGATTTAGGACATGTATTAGATTTATATATAGCATTGTTATAATGTAGGTTTTCTGACACAAAATCGGACTTTTCTGAAATGATATGCCAATTTGTTCCATATTTCGATTCTACGACTCAAACGGTGCCAAACTGCCAATTTTTGTAAAAATCGCATAAGTAATTTTTAAAAATTTAGCTCTCAAAATTTTAGCTCCTCAGTGTTAGTTAAATTTGATATATATTTATTAATATCTCTTTTTTATTAAACTTAATTAATTCCTTCTTCCAGAATCCGAACTTTAGGTTCATTCCAAATAAAATTCAATCTTTTTCTTATGATTTATTTAAAAAAACTTTTATAAATTTTTCGAAAACATTTTGAATTTATAACCTATAAAATGTTTACCATGGCCTTAAAGTAGATGCATTTCTGTATTTCTAAGTATACCTGCAAAAAATTAGTTTTTTATTCAAATTTTCTTGGATATACGTGAAATTACATATTGTCACGTTTTGAAATTTGGCATATTTGTCATAAGCGATAATAATGCCAAATGTAGTTTACGCATTTTGTTAAATTTATTTGAAATAGTAAACGATGACTTTTTTCGCTGGTTTACAATGAAAAAAAGAAAAGTAAAATAGGTTGCTATAAATGAAGAAGTTCGACAAGTGGCGCAAACTGAAAACAAAATGCGGCAAAATAAATTTTTAAGTTTCTTTATAACTTTCGCACCAAATTTAAAAAAAATTAATATTAGGCATAATTTGAGTCGTAGAATCGAAATATGGAAAAAAAAATCATGTCATTTAAAAAAAGTCCAATTTTGTGTCAAAATACTTATATTAGAACAGTGCTGCGTATAAATCTAATATATATTCTAAGTTGAGCTTTCGAGACGTGAAAAACGCAATTTGAATTTTGTCAATTGGCCCAATAAAACGGGAGATATAGAACTGTCTATGTTTTTTTTTCGCAGTGTATATGTATATACACGCATAAGATTACTTCAGTTGTTTAGTAAATCCTCCACTATCTGCGATGACAGCCTTGCAGTGGTCCTGCACAAAATATTTCAAATTCTGAATGCAATTCGTGCCAGTTTTATGGATCCAAACTCTAACAATATTTTCTTGCAATTTAATCTTTGTAGCAGGTTTCGTAAGAGCAATTTTGTAACCTATTATATGACAACAGTTTTCAACGAGAATCAGATCAGGACTATTAACCAGTCCAAAACTTTAATACCAGATATTATCAGATAGGTCTACACATAAAGGGAGAGAATAGGAGGAAAATTACGTTTGTAATGTCCAAGATTTGAGAATTGGCAAGATTTGAGGACTCATGTGTTCTGTATAGCATTGCAAGGACATAAACCACAGTACAATTTAATAAAATTCAAAGACAAATGAACAGCAGTTTCAATATTTGGCTTGATAGTACTTGATAGGGTACTTGATAAAAGCTTGAAAATTAGTTATGGTTTCGATCTTCGGTTGATAGTCGTACGTTTGTCTACAGCAGGAAAGTAGAAACTGACAAACTTGAAGTTATGATTTTACAGACTGTTGAGATCGTTGAGTGTTCCACTTTAAATTACAAAAGAAGATAATAACAGAAATTAGGTCTTTACGATTAGACACATTGGTGACCACGTCACTAGAATTGTGGAATACTAGCTCTTGGCTGTTTGATGAACTGGCCATATAAAACATCCTCGGTTTTCCTCACGGGTAACGTAACGACATGTCAGTTTATTTTATAAAATCCTCCACGAAAGCATCCTTCTTTCTACTTGCAGATGCCCTAGTTAACTTTGCGATAATCAGAACAGTTTAAATTCATTAAGCTTAAGGAGAAGATAATGTTAGAAGCTCAATCTGTTATTAGGATTCGAATTAAAAGCGGTGTAAAACTAATTGATTTTTGCACAAAAATTTAATGTATAAACATGTTAGAAATGTTGAGAGATAGTTGAGTAAAAGTTTAAAAATATGTGTCAGGTAAGTTTTAAATAAATAATGAAGTTCTCTCCTTCAAGTAATCGAAACTTAATTTTTAACGTAAAATCTTGCAACGAAAATATATATTAATACAATAAGTTTTCTTTCGTTGAATCTACCGATACTGTATCTAAAATATTACCCTGAAGCAACACCACTGAGAAAATAGAGAGGAAATGCAATTCTATGTTAAGAAAGTATCTCTTGGGAAATTATAGCATACGATCTATGATCAACTGGGCCTGGGATCAACAATCTTTCCCTAGGAAATTTACCCGCGCATTAATGACATTCTGAGTAGGTTTGCGTGTCGGTAACAATATGTAATATAATATAAATATAAATAAGGTTTAAGCTCTCTAGAGTATGAAAGGTTTTAGAGTATTTAAATAATTCATTTGACAACATATTTGGAGGAGAGAGGGAGGGGCAGTTTCAGCAGGCTGAAGGCAGAAGGAAGGAACGTGGAGGAAAAGAATTATTCAAGAATCCAGCTTAAATTCTTCTCTGTGAAAATACTTCAGTTAGCTAAGTACATCTTCCTTGAAAATGTAGTTACTTGACTAATATTAAAAATTAATGTTTTATCCACGTGAAAAGACTGGTAGATTAAATTCATCCAAAAGTGTACAAAATACAGAGAGGAATAAGAATACGGTTACTTTGCACTAGGCAGTGAAAACGTCACTGTTTAAATCTTGCGAAAAGATATAAAATGCCATTAGTTTTATTTTGCATTCGAGAAGAGGTGAAAATGCTTCGTTGAATTCTGTTGAATAACTAATGGCAAAGTCAATGTATTATTTTTGGTTAAATGGTAATTAGTAAAAAGCACTTCCTTCCCGTTAATCAATAAATTATATTTTTACGTTTTTTACTCTGGGCTTAATTTTAGATTAAGCGGAAATTCTCCTGAGCTAAAATATGCATTTCGGAAGATAAATTATTTTTGCACGACTTCTAATGAAACTTCTGAAATGTAAAAGAATCACGAATTTTTATTTGTTTAATGATTAACATTCTATTTAAAAACAGCAGAATTTAAATATGATTTTGTAAATGTCTCAAAGATTATAACCTAAAACAGGAAAAATTAGGGGTGGTGGAAGGTACAACTGAAATTGAAAATGAACGGACAAACACAAACCAAAAATGTAGTGTGATTGTCTTAAGCTTTGTTTGCGAGGTCGCAAATAAGAGATAACTTTCGGAAGCAAAAAGAAAAACTTACTTTTTTAAAAGATGTGTATTGCCATATTATCTGCAATGTATTACTTCTTTCCCTGTCTCAATTTTGGAATACTCTATAAGGTACCAACCCGAACCACATAACCAAACAAGTTGGTCTTATGGTTATAACAAGCCACGCACAATTACACTCTATAATGTATTTTTTCCGCATGCCATTTTGTTGTAACGGTAGCACACACTACGCGTATTCCAGAAGCCAGGGTTCGAGTCCCCGCGAGGGCATTGCACGTTCCTACATCGATGTAACTTAATGACTGCCCTGCTAAAAAGTGCCCCATAGAAATCAGCAAAACGTTTTATGTGTATCCATAAAATTCTATGGGTTTCTAATGACTTTTACTGGTTTCTATTGGTCACTGTAGATTTTCCTTATATGGTCTCAAAATGCCCCATAGAAATCAGTAAAACTTTCTTTCTGGTACCCATAGAATTCTTTTATTC